CATTACTTTTTGCTATGATAAAGACATGGAAACAAAATGAGCACTCATACATTGTGGAATGGTTGAACAAATTATAGTAGAAAAATGTAATGGAATATTATCATACTGTAAGAAATCATGAAAAAAATATTCAGAGAATCTTCTAAAGACTTGTAAGAAATTATAGGAGATAATTAGACAGAACTGTGAGATTAATTTATAAAATGATTAAAATAACATAAAGGAAAACAATTCTGAAAGTCAACTCTAAACAATGCAAGGACCACTTGTGACTGATGATGAAGATTGTTTTCCCCCCTACCAGAGAAGTGATGGGTTAGGGGTGCAAAATAGCATGTAGATTTCTAGACATGGTCAATGTATGGATTTGTTTTGTTGGGTAATATTCATTGGTCCAAAGGGAAAGCTTCTACTGGGATGGAGTTGTTGAAGGGGAGTTTGTTAGCAGTGATAATGATGTGGAAAAAAAGAAAAGGAATGAAAGAAAAAAGAGCATCAATAAAATATTAAAAAAAACACAGAGAGATCAAATATTCAAATGAGTGAGCAAGCAGTGCGCTTTTTTACTATATTGTTTTAGCATACGTGAGTTCACATCTTATTTGGGGGGGGTGAGACAATCAGGGTTAAATGACTTGCCCAAGGTCACACAGCTAGTAAGTGTCAAGTGTCTGAGGTTGGATTTGAACTCAGGACCTCCTAACTTCAAGGCCAGCACTTTATCCACTGTGCCATCTAGCTATTCCTTGGGAATTCATTTTTCATTGATGCTATAGTGGTAGCTCAGTGGAGAGAGTACTGGGCCTGGAGTCAGGAAGACCTGAGTTCAGATATGGCCTCAGATATTTACTAGCTATGTGATCCCGGGCATGTCACTTCATCTCTGTCTGTCTCAATTTCCTCCTTTATAAAATGGGAGTAATAATAGCATCTACCTCCCAAGGTTGCTGTGAGAATTAAAAAAAGATGACATTTATAAAGCACTGTGCATACCTTAAAAACTATATAAATTTAGCTATTATTATTGTAATTATATCATACAATCCTCTCAGTTCTTTGCATATTGAAATTTTTTTGAATATTGAAATATTTATGTTGATTGATGTTTTTTAATTTCATAACAAAAAATAAAACTTTTGAAAAAGGAAGAAAAGTTACCTATAATGATAAAATCACAAGTATGTTTTTAAGAATCATTAATAGGAAGATAGATTTAATTTCAAAAAGGTGAAAGCTAAAAAGTATCATTATGGAATAAGTGTTATAAATTATACTTATGTAGTATTTGAAAGGGCAGCTAAGTGGTGCAGTGGATAGAGTGTTGGGCCTGAAATCAGGGAGACTCATCTTCCTGAGTTCAAATCTGACCTCAGACAACAAGCTGTGTGACCCTGGGTTAGTCACTTAACCCTGTTTACCTCAGTTCTTCATCTGTAAAATGAGCTGGAGAAGGAAATCACAAACCACTTCAAGTACCTTTGCAAAGAAAATCCCAAAGCGGGTCACAGAAAGTAGGACGTGACTGAAAGTGTTTGAAAAAAGATTTTCAGGCCACTGTTTTCACAAAAAGTTCTGTGTAATCCCTCTGCCAGTGACTCTCACTGTATAATATAATAATCTCTGACTCAGGAGTCAGAGACCATGGGTTCAAATCCTTTGTCTGCTTCTTACTACCTAAGTGACCTTATGCAAGTCATTAACCTTCCTGGGACTTAGATCTTTCAACTGAAAATGAGGGGGTTGAACTGGATCTCTTCTGAGATAACTTTCAGTCTCAGATCTTCACCTAAGGAGGGTTAGACATCACAGACTCTCCTTTTATGATCCTAACATCCTAAAAGTCCATTTCATATCCTATGAAGGGCTGGGATATACCTAGGGGCACTTTCTCACTTTCTGGGCTTAGAGCTCACAGTTCAGAAAAATGGGGAAATGGTTCCCTAAACTCCCATAAGCCCCTGCCCTCCACCTCTCACCAAGTATGCCAAGATGGATTACTCAACAAGCATGCTATGCGCAATATCACAATAGAAATGTTTATTTAAAGAAGGAATAAAGCAAAAAATAGGTCCACAGAAACATAGATATTGAACTGGAAAGGTCCTTAGATGTCATTGAATCCAACCATTTCATTTTCCAGATGAGGGACGTGGGACTCAGAGAGTTTAAATGACTTGTCCAGGGTCCCACAGCTTTAACTACTTGAGGTAGGAGTCAAAAGCCCTTGAATGAGCAACCATTAGTCCAAAAGATGCATATGAATTCCCAGAGTCACTTAGAATACTAAATATGAAGGCTTTTTTGGCAGAGGCTTCCCTCATCATATTTTCATTTGGCTCATTGATATGAACCAGTCAAGATGGGAGAGTGGCCTCTCTCTCTGTCTCTGTCTCTCTCTGTCTCCCTCTCTCTCTCTCTCTCTCTCTCTCTCTCTCACACACACACACACACATACATTCTCTCTCACTCCCTCTTACACACACAAATAGATCTGTCTCTCTCTCTGTCTCTGTCTCTCTCTGTCTCTCTCTCTGTGTCTCTCTGTCTCTCTTTCTCTCTCAAACACACACACACATTCTCTCTCACTCCCTCTTACACACACAAATAGATCTGTCTCTCTCTCGCTATCTTTTTCTGTCTCCACATGTTTGTCTGTCCCTCTTCCTTTCTCCTCTCTTATCTAAATAAAATTACATACATTTGCTTTTGTGATTTGGTTAAGAGAAAAGTTTTCTAATACTCACTGAATCCTCAATAATCTCTGATGTAAGGTCAGGGTTGATTGAATAAATCAATCAAGTCATCCCACTCCATTTAAAGTCAGACATACACTACTATGCTCTGGCACTTTTACCACATGCAAACGTATCACAACCAATCTATCATAGATTTTAGATCAAGTGAGGAAAACATCCTTGATCAATTGGTGAAGTTGTGAGCTTTTATAAAGCCAGCAAGAGAGTTCAAAACTCAAGGTGTTTGACCAGGCGAGAGGAGAGAGAGCATTCTAACTAACTCATGAGAAGAAATCAATAGGGATTGGGGAGTGGAGAGGAAGGATCTCTCATAGTCCAGTACTCCAGACCATCTGTGATATCATCAATTTGAGTATTCATTTCCTGCAATGATACACATCACAACCTCACTGTTGTTCAGTCATTTCAGTCATGTGCAACTATTCGTGACTCCTTTTGGGGTTTTCTTGGCAAAGACACTGGGGAGTGGTTTGCCATTTCCTTCTCCAGCTCATTTTATAGATGAGTAAACTGAGGCAAACAGGGTTAAGTGACTTGCCCAAGGTCACACAACTAATAAGTGTCAGAGGCCATATTTGAACTCATGAAGATGAGTATTCCTGACTCCAGGCCCTGTACCCTATCCACTGTACCACCTAGCTGTTTTCCCATCCTATCTGACCTTCATCTATTTCCTCAAATAGATTTCCTGCAGGGATCCCCCTAACGCGCTGTTGAGCTTCCTTTCATCCTTCTGACACCATGAGAACACCAACAGAGTACACTGGTCACCTAGTGAGTGACTCCATCTTTCTTCATTCCTGACCCATCTCTTTTTTTCCCCAATGATACATCTCTCTGATGACATCCTTTAAACCACTTCTTTGTAACTCTTTCCTTTGTGATACATTTCAGCCTATGCATGCTCCTCATGCTCTTCTCCATTGCATTTGGGATGATTCTTAACTTCATTTTTTCAGAAATCATAGTCCTATGACTACCATAATGGAAAACAAATTTTGCATGTAGGACTCTTCTTATGGTCCTTTCTTTACATACTTCACTATGCCTTCCTTAATCCTTCTCAATTCTGCAAGAAGGATGCATGCACATTTTGGGAGGCACTCACCTTACCCATATCTCATCTTAGCATTTGAGTCGCTTATTGCTTGTTCTTTCTTTCACATCAAGAGCAGCCAGTTTCAATGACGGCCCTTTTAATTTAGAATCTGCTTTAAATTCAATTAAGTGTCAAAACTAGGTGGTGAGAGAGAACTCATTGTCAGCATCTGGGTTACCATGGATATTTGAGGAACAGAAAACAATTTTCTTAATAGAGATCTGCTGAAAAAATATAAATGGCCAGAACATAAAGTTATATGATTTGTTTTCATATTGTGACTATGGTTATTGACTTGTTATTCTCTTCTACCTTTGGCTGAATTTTGGCCTCAAATATAATATTCCCAAAGACAAAGAGACAAGAAAATAGATATAATAGTAAAATCATTGACGTTCCTATTTCATTCAAGTATTGGCAACCAAAGCATTTTGAATAGGCTATCATTTCTATCCATTTCTATCCATTAGTGCTAGTGATTATGGCTTCCACTTTGGGGAAAACTTTTTCACTGTAGATTTGAAAGGATTCAAAGGATGATCCAGGGGGTACTCAGACTCCTTCCTTTGCAAAAGCCCTTCTAATGACTAGTCAGAGAGCCTTAAAGTCATTTATCTATAAGAACATCTCGTCAAAATATTGTAGGGGAGTCTGTAGGGAAATGGAAGCAAAAGGGAATTTACAGTCGGAGAATCTGGGTTCGAGTTCCAGCTATTTTACTTACTATGGCTATCAGTTATATAACTTTGGGTAAATCACCACTTTTCTGACCCTCAACATCTTTGGCTGCAAAATGAGAAGGTTGTACTATATGATTCCTAAAGTTCCTTCTAGCTCCAAAACTATCATCTCTAAGGAGACTTTTTCCAGCATACACCAGCCAAAGAATTCTTTTAGGTGAATGAATAAGCTAATCCTTTTGGACCACACAGTCTGCTGCTGGTATTTCAGAACTCCTCTCAAAATGAAGAGTTTCAATGAGAGTCCTCATTTTGGAGAGTTGCATCTACATAATGCCTCAGTCTTTGCTTGATTCAGTGACCTTTTGATGAAATATGATAAATTTCTATTGAGTAGATGTTGAGTAGTTATTCCATTGGATGCTAATTTTAATAAGTACTGATTTTCAATGCATTCTGTTGTAGGCTGAATATTTCTATGAATTCTTATCTTTACGGTCTCTGGATAAAGGCATCATGGATGACCCCACTGTCAACATCCCATTGCTTGGGACAGTTCCCCACAAAGCATCAGGTTGGTAGTTTTCAACTTTGGGAAAGCTATTGTGAAAATAATGAAATGCAGTTTCATGTGTTAAACTTTATTTTAAACGCAATTGCTCTTGTAATGACTAGACAATATTAAACGCTGTAGGCCACTTGGCATATCTAAAATGGATCAGAGATATAGAATTAGAGGAAACTTTCATGCCATCAATTCAAGCTTTTCATTTTATAGATGGGGAAACTGAGTTCCAGAGAAAATGACTTGCCTTTAGGCACATAGCTAGTGGTGGGGGGAGGAGTGGGGAGAGCATATGAACATATCTCTTCCTAATTCCAGGACTAGAATCCTATTTACAATATCATCTTGCTTCTCATTTTATCTTAAGCCCATTAGGCAAAAAGATAATGATAGAAGTGAAAAAACAAAAGTTTTATAGCTTCCTAGAAATGTAAGGTTACTAATCACATGTATCAAGTGAATGATCTTGAGCTTCTTAATGGTTTTTTTGGCTTTCTTTGGCTATTAGGTTATTATATAGAATGTCCCAAAAGTCTTAGTGCAGACTTAAGCTGTTACAACTTCAGACTGCAGTAAGGTATTAAAACTTAAGACTGTACTAAGACTTTTGGAAGGCTCTATATATACACCCAACAGACAAATATTAATGTGGTGGGGGTAAATTCATAAGGGAGATGTGGAATAAAGGAGCTCTTGGGGTCAGCTAAGGAAGGTTTTCTTGAGGAGAGTTTTAAATAAGACTTTGAAGAAGGGGAGAGATAAGGAATGTTAGAAAAGAGAGGTCTACATTCTTCATCTAATGAACCTGCTGTGCTTTCTGAAGGATCAACAATTTCTATCCTAGTTAGTTCCAGTCTAAACCACTTGAGTTTCAAGAGGATCTTAAGCAGGAACATATTTTTTCCTGGCCACATCTTGAAAATACTACAGAGCTGTCTTTTTTATTCCACCCAGTTTTTCAGAGATAGGAAAAAGTAGATCAAGTTGACTGAGAATCATTTCCTGGGAAGCATGGCTCCATGAAGGCATGCTAGGGTTTCTTGGCTATCTTACTAGTCAATTTCTGACCCATGCAGAAAATTGAAATAACACTTATACTCCTGAAAGCAGAGATGACTGAGATTAGCACCTAGTTGGCAAGAAATGACCTGGGGCATTCTTTCCAGGTCCAGCCTACCTCTGCTCTCTGTACCCCCAGTAGCTTGCCCCTCAGCAGTGGTCTCAAGGGAGTCTGTGAATAGCTATGTCTCCATCTCCATGGAAAAATGCCTTGGGGTCTGAATTATTTCCCCAAGGTCATCTATTTCCACCACCTTTCAACTGATTTTGCTTTAAACAGATGATTTTTTTTTAAAATTACAGTTTTCATATTGTTCATCCCAGGCAGAATGAATAAAGTGCTGGGTTTGGAGTCTCTGGGCCTCAGTTTCCTGATCTGTAAAATAAAGGGGTCAGCATCCATAGTCCCTTCTAGATTCAGATTTATGATCCCAGGGGCCAGCATTGCAACTAGGTGGTGCAGCAGACAGAACACTAGACCTGGAGTCAGGAAGGCTTGACTTCAAATCCAGCTTCAGACATTTACTAGCTATATTACCTTGGGTGAGTCACCAAAGGTTTACTAGGTGGTACAGTGGTTAGAGCACTGGGCCTGGAGTCAGGAAGACCTGAGTTCAAATCCAGCCTCAGACACTTAGTAGTTGTGTGACCCTGGGCAAATAATTTAATCCTGTTTGCCTCAGTTCCCTCATCTGTAAAAAGAGCTGTTTTATGTTGTAAGGACATGATTCAAACAAGACAAAAGTGTCTTGTGAATGTGAAGGACATAATATTCAGGTTAGAAGGGACTTTAGGGAACTTCAGGGAGTCTGTACCTGAGCAGGTACTCCCTCTGTCTTGTCCCTGACCAGCAGCCATTCGATCTCCACCTAAAAACCCTCAGTTACATGGAACTCGTTAATTACTTACTAAGACAATTTTAACAGAAAGTTGGGGCAGTGTCCTGTAGTGTGGAAAAAAACATGGAATCAGGTGTCCTGGGTTCAAATTTCTTCTATTTCTGTGTATATCAGTCAGGTCTGTATCTAAGATAGCTAAATTACATGCTGAATTTCTGAACTTGTTCTTGGAGGGATAATATTAATATTCACAGATTTTGAGCAGTTACAGGATCATAAGTTTAGAACTGGTCATCTAGTCATCCTCCTAATTATATAGACGAGGAAACTGAGGCATAGAGATGCTAAATAAATCCCCCCAAAGTCATAGAGGTAGTAAGCGGCAATAGAATTTAAGCTTAGGGAGAAGAGTGCTTTTATTTTTAACTTTGTATCCACAAGTACCTAGTATAGTGTCTTGAACATAGGGGATTTTTTTGGTTGTTTGGGGGAAGGAGTCTGTGATTTTAAGCAGAGTAGGGTAATACTAAGTATGGAAGCATACCCTTCTTCCTCCTGAACATATCAGCAACTTACAGTCACTTACAGTCTTAGAGTTATGTCTCGTGTCTTATATCACTTAGAGTCTTAGAGTTCACTGAGGTACAGAGCTGTTAAGTGATTTGCCCATAGTCACGCCACCATGTGTCAAGAGGTGGTCTGGATATCAAACATTCCTAACTCCAAAGATAGCCCTCTACCTACTAGGGAGGAATATTTGTAGAATTTATAGAATAGTTGAGACTATTTGAATAGTATTTTTATTTTCTATTCTATTTTATTCTCTTATATGTATTATAATATAGTATTAAATAGTATCAAAATGAATAGTATCAAGTAGATTTTGAATATATTTGGATCAGACAAATTCCAAGGCATCCAGGTCTTTATGGGATTTATGCTTCTTTGAATGAGATGAAGGTAGACACCTCAAGCATTTGAGAGGGAGGAGGGGGAGAGAATAACTCCTTGAGGGACTCATTCTGATTTCCTTTGAAGTGATGTCTAGGAACAGGTTTGGAGGGTTTCTTGGTCAGATTTAGGACTCCTTCACAGAAATGCAGGTGCAAGGATTTTATTGGGACCTTATCCCATTCCCCAGAGACCGTAATTGGTGCAGGGCAGTTATTCATTAGCCTAATTAGCACAGACTCCACAGTGGAAGCATGTGTAGGTGGACTGAATTATTAAAAAGTAACTAAGTAAGTGTGTCTGCACTTTTAAACGTCCAGGTAGCTTTCATTATTCTGCTCAGAACAAAGCACGTGTGCTCTTTTATATCCTCAAAGTGTTTAGGTCCTTAAAAAAAAAGTCCCACAGACTCTTCTATTCCTAAACCCCTGCACTACAGAAACTCTTGATCTTTAACAATTCCTGAAGGGTCTGCTTTCTGGCATCTGAAAAGAACAAAAACAGGAACTGCAAACTGCAGGGTGGTTTCAGTAAAATTATTCCATTATATAAGAAAAAAAAGATTTACATAAAAGTGGGGCGATCCCTCTTTGGGCACTGTCTCTGTCACCCTGGGAAGCCAACAGAGTACCAGATTCTAAACTGAAGGTTTGTGAAAACCTTTTGAAGGTTTATAAGAACCTTTTCAATGATACTTACCATGGTCCCCACTTCAGTCTACTAGGTCCATAATAAAATAAGTGGAAAGTGGAAGCTTATGGTGACCCCACAGTAGAAAGAAAGATGTATAAAACCTCTCTGTGAAACTGCATGACAAGTGAAGGGCTCTGCAGGTCATAGGTGATACGTGTGTTGAAGCAGGGAAACCAGTTGTAGACAAGCCAAGAGGTTTAGATTAGGTAGGATGGCTAGGTGGTGAAGTGGGTAGAGCAATGGGATTGGAATCAGGAGACTCATCTTCCTGAGTTCAAATCCAGCCTCAGACACTTACTAGTTGTGTGACCCTGGGTAAGTCACTTAACTCTCTTTGCCTCACTTTCCTCATCTGTAAAATGAGAAGGAAAGGGCAAACTACTCCAGTGTCTTTGCCAAGAAGACCTCAAATGGGGTCACAAAGAATCGGACACAACTGAAACGACTAAACAACAACAACTTTCTGGTTCCACGCTCAGCACCTTACCCACTATATAATACTACTATTTCAAATAAGATAAATGAATGAAAGTTCTTACAATTATAATGCATACTTTAAAATTTTTTGGTGCATACTCCTTCAGATGAAGGGGGTGGTAACAACCTCCTTGCCTACTCTACCCCTCACCCCATGAAGTGGCTGAATAAATATCACCCCCAACGGATAAGCTCTAAACTGCTCTAAACTTATCCTAAAGCTCATACTTGGAGAAAGATTCATAATCCAATACTAGACTAGTACTTGAAACCTTTTTGGCTTGGAAGGACCTATCAAGAATTTTGCTATGCCAGCATAGTCTTTAAGAGCCATTGGTCACCTCTATTCTACTCAACAAATATTTATTAAGGACTTACGATATGTAAGGCACAGACTGCAATAACTAAGATGAAAAACAGTCCTTCATTCAAGGGACATTCTGTTGAAAAATATAATGTGTAAATGGGATAGGGATAGGGGTATAGAGCCTGGATAATGTAACTTGAGGATCAATGCTCTAATACTAGGGCAATGAGGGAAAGTTCCCAGTTCTGGTGTTACCTTGAAGAATTTTTGAAGGAAGCAAAGGATCCCCAGAGACAATAAGGTAAAGAGGATAGCATTTTGGATATTGTAGTCAGGAGCAACTTTTGCAAAGGTAGAAACTGAATGTCAAGTTTAAGGAAACAGTAGGCCATTTGGAACAGAAAGTACAGTCTGTGAAGAAGGATGACAGAGTAGAGCTTTAGTGAAAATTCAATGAATCTAATAAGGAGAAATGATGGGTTGGGGCCAGTCTTAATTTCAGTGGCTTACAGGTCATGCAAATCAGCAGCAAACTTTTCTGCCAGCATATGGAGTTCACTTACAACCTCTAGAAGACTGATCTGGGAGTGGGCCCTGGAACACGTTACTACTATAGTAATCATTCAACTGCCTGTTTACCTCATCTGCTTTTGAACACATCTGTAAGTATGAGTGAATTAATT